TGAGTGGATAATTAAATTGAGATTTTTAATTCTAGTGATGAGGATATTTAAAAAATTCTCCATTTAAGTGGTATACATCAGACATTAGTCAGACGTAATTTTAAATGCAAATTTTTTTCCAAGAAGTGTATTAACAGCTTTTTCTGACCAATGCCGAATTTTACTACTGAAAACTAAGCATATAATTCACAGGGAAAAGTTCCGTCTGACTTAAATTGACTTACACTACTGATAATCGAAATTTTAACAAGGTTTAAAAAAAATTGTCTGACTAATACTGACATTTACTACTGAAAACTAAGAATTCTGTATAAACAGAGAAAAATTTCGTCTGACTAAAATCGTTTTACACTACTTATAATCAAAATTGTACCAAGTTTTGTCTGACTACTTATGACTTTTACCACTGAAAAGTAGAAATTTCTGCATTAGTTTTACTGATTTAACTTGAATAAAACAAGCAATTATATGTCAACGACGTTAAAATACATGTATGCTATTGTAACGAAAATGAGTCGCTTGTGCATACAAAAGAGGAAGAACAAAAAAAAAAAGAAAAAAAAATGGAGAAAGCCGAGAATGAGAAGCAAGAAGGTAAGAGTTAAGAGAATGGTGCAAGAGGATTGCTTCGAGCGATTTTTAGCGGTTAGAAAGTTACCGTCATGGAATCACAACTACCTCGTTATCACGTGCAATCTCGTATCGGGGCTTGTTTTCATTATATTATACTCCAGGGCTCAAGTATAACGTTTTCGCGAAAGTAACAATTTCAACAAATCCAATAAGGCTATTTCGCTTGTGTCCGGATACCACCCTTAAACCTCTCGCATATATCCTGTCAAGTGTGTCACGACGACAACGTTGCTATCTCAACTATACGTTGACGTCTTTCCAGAATCTCATTATTGCTCCTGAACACACACACAAAATGAGTGGAATTTTCTTTGAAATTCACAAAAAACGAATGTTAACACAATGGATTGCTTTTGCGAAAAAATTTCCTTTTGGAGAATGAAAAAAAAAAAAATATTGCGGTAAACCTTGAAAGGAAA